AAAATGGTGAGGTGTCTGAGGTGAAATTTAGCTCACGTCTTTAGACTCTTTCTCTTAATCAATTGTTTGAGTGTTTTACATATAATAGAATCTGTTTTATCAAAAATTGTGTATGGGATGATTGCATTTGGCTCATAGAATAGTCTTGGGATTATGGTTTTTCACACTACCTTTGCTATGTTTTACCACAAAGGAAATAGTAAACTCAGGATGGGGTTAATAGAATTTTCCCCTTCTCCTGTCCTTAGGATGAGGTCATACATTTTTTTAACTTGTGTGTCTGGCAGACTTCATGATTAAAGCACTCATTGAGATTGAAGGACTGATACCTCCAATTGATTTTGTCATGGGGAGCATTGCACCTGTGTGTCTTTCCACCATTGTCAACTAATTTGGTAAGTTGACTCATCTGGTATTTTTACTCAATCTCTCAAATTCCAGAATTTTTGTAATTAATACCTACAATATCATTCTTTTAAATGCTTGGATGTTTTCAATTGCTGTCTTTGAACACTGTAATCCTGATTTTGTTTGTCATGGGACTTTTGTTTTAAATTTTTTGATGGCTCCATGATAGGTCTGTCTTTTTTCACTTGACATAATCTCCAGTTCTATTCATTTTCCAGGAAGTGATGTAATTTCCTTCTTCTTTATTGCTAAGTAAACTTCTATTGTGAATATATGCATCTCACATTTTCTTCATCAGTCTTCTGAGGATGCTCACCTCAGCTGATTCCATGCATTGGTTATCAAGAACACTGTGATAAACATGCACGCAAGTAAACATGCTGAGCTGATTTCACGGTTTGGGGTATATACACACAAGTGGTTTGCTTTGATCATGTGGGAGTTCTATGTTTAATTTTGGGGGGAAACTCCATCCAGATTTTCATAGTGTCTATGAATAAGAGGTTCTTTATCCACACTCCCTCTCCAGAATTTGTTCTACAGTTCTTGACAGCCTTTCTAACTTTTGTGAGATGGAGTCTCAATGTACTTCTGATTTGCATTTCCTTTATGGATACGTATGTTGACCATTTTTTTCAAGCATATATGTGCCATTTGTATTTCTTCATTTGAAAGGTATCTGTTCAGTTCATTGACCCATTTTTTGTCTTTATGAGGATAGTTTGTGGACATTCTTTTGTAATTTCATTGTATTTTGAAATTAGCACACATTAACAATATGAGGGGATTCCATTGTGATAATTCCATACATTCATACAGCATACCTTGAACAGGTTCAACCCCTACATTATCTTTCCATTCCCCTCTTTCTTCTCCCCACTTTTTCAAACAGTGTTTGGTGGGATTCATATGCGTGTATTGATTGGATTATTTGTTAGAGTGGCCTTTCATTTTACATTGATAAATATCACATGAATAGCTGGTGAAGATTTCTTCCATTCTGCAGGCTGACTTCTACTCTATTGACTATTTACTTCTAGTCTATGCAGTAGTTTTTAATTTGATGTAATCCCATTTGTCAATTCTTTCTCTTATTTCCTGAGCTATTGGATTCCTACTCAGAACATCTTTGCCTAGCCCTGTGTCTTTAACTATTTCCCTATCCTTTACTGTCATAGTTTCAAAGTTCACGTCTTATATTGATATCTTTGACACAGTCAGGATCTGGTGACTCATGCCTGTAATCCTAGCTACTCAGGAGATAGAGATCAGGAGAATCGCAGTTCGAAGACAACCCAGGCAAATTGTCCCACAAGACCCTATCTTAAAAACTCCTTCACAAAAATAAGGCTGGTGGAGTGGCTCCAGGTGAAGTTCAAGCCCCAGTACCACAAAAAAAGATCTTTGATCCAGTGTGAATTGAATTTTGTGCAAGGCGGGAGACAGAGATATAGCTTCAGGCTTCTGCATGTAAATATCCAGATTACCCAGCACCACATTTCTTTTTGTTCTATATCTTCCATTCCATTCACATGGGTGTCTGCTATGTGCCTGCACATATGTTTCTACATCTCTGCAGTGTAGATTGAAAGAATATATTACAACACCTCCAGAATTGCATTTTGCTCAGGATTACTTGAGCTACTCAGCATCTTTAATGTTTCCACATGAATGTTAAGATTTTTTTCTATTTCTGTGAAAAATATCTAGATTTTGATAAGGATTGCATTGAATTTGTATGGCACTCCTATTAATATGGTGATTTTAACAACATTAGTTCTGACAATCCATGAACTTGGGAGGTGGTTCCATCTTCTAGAGTATTCTACACATCATTTACTCAGTGTTTTATAGTTATCATTAGAAAGCAAGTTAACTTCTTTGGTTAAGTTTATGTCTAGATGGTTTTAGTGGAGACCATTATAAATGGCATTGCTGTCAGTCTACTTTTCTCAGCAAAGTCATTGTTCATGCACAGAAAAGCTACTGGTTTTCATATGTGGATTTTGTACCCTGCTAATTTGCTGAAAGTACTAATCTGATTTAAGTTTCTTCAGGTTCATTCTTGGGTCATATAATATAGGATCACATCATGCTTGCTCATCACTGATCTTATCAATATTGATCACATCAATAATTGTTCATTATTGAACTCTTTATTTGTATCTTCTTGTGTCACTTTTGGTGGCTCGTTTGTACCTAGAAATTTACCTGTTTCCTCCAGATTATTCAGTTTACTGGGGTATAAGTTTTCAAAATTTTACTGATGATCCTCTGGATTTCAGAGGTATGTGTTGTGATGTCATCTTTCTTGTCTCTAATTTATTAATTTTGGTCTAGTCTTTCATTCTTTCGTTTACTTTGGCAAAGGAGTTGCCTGTCTGGTATATCATTCAAAGCCCAACTCTTTATTAAGTCATTCTATTGCTCCTTTAGCTTGTGCTTTGTTCATTTCAGCTCTGATTTTATTAATGCTTTCCTAATTCTTACTTTGGAATTCGGTTTATATTGAATTTCTAAAACCATGAGGTCCATCATTAGAAAATTTACTTGAGAACCCTCTGTTAGCATAAGCATTCAAAGCTGTGAACTTCCCCTTTAGAGCTGGTTTCATTATATCCCACATTCTCTGGCTTGTTGGGTTCATTTGCTTCTAGGAATTTTTTCTCTTCCCACTCACCATTTCCCTGAGGACCCACTGGTCATTCAAGACTACTGTTTCATCTCCTTGTGTTTGTATATTTTCTGTGGTTTCTTCTCTTGATGTCAATTTCTAGTTGATTTGCATTTTATTCCATTTTCTCATTGCTCCATTGTGTACATCCTGTAAGGTTACTGACAGCTGATGCACTCAGTTTAACCTCTCCTTTCTGTCTGCATCTTTGCTCCATCTTAAACCTACATACATGGGAGCCAAAATTTCAATTCTTCCACCATGCTTAACCACCTGCTTTTATCTCTGTTACATAATTCCCTTTATGGAACCTGATAGAATTTGAAATGATGGGAAATCTGTGTGAATTTCTCCCTAAATTAAATTCTTAGAAGGGCAGTAGTTCAAGGTAAATTTCCTATAAAATTTCAAAAATTCTTCCAGGATATCATTGAGTTTGATCATGAAATCTTCATAAGTAGTTTCCTTTACTATGTTCTTCATTTTCTGTGAGCCAAGACCCATGAAGTAGAGCAGAGAGAAGCAAGGAGCTGTGTGCAGCATGGAGCTCTGTGAAGCATGGAGCTCTGTGAAGCATGAAGCTCTGTGCAGCATGGGGCTGTGTGCAATGTGGACAGCTGCTGCTCCTCCTGTTCCCACAAAGTATTCTAGAAAGTCCCTGGGATTTTTTAATGTAACAATGTTGACATTTGTCACATGAGTTTCTGCATTTGAGAGATTATCATATATTTTAGTCCTTCACTCTGCATAAAGAGGGAGTAGAAAAGGTCTCTTCAGGACCTCGTATGGGATGGTTTGTTGACTCAGGTAAATGCACATCTGTTAGCAGGTCCTGCACAGAGGGAGAGTTTCCCAACTGCAGTCTGAGAGTGTGGAGCTGACACTGGGCCTTCAAATCATCTGAGATGGAGAATGCAGGTCCATCACAGAGGCTCAGACAGATGGGAAAATTAGGGCTGGAGAGATATGGGTGATTTTCATTATGGGTCCTTGTGCAAGCAATGTTAACCTTATGAGGGTCTGAGTTTCAGGACAATTTTCAGGTCCACTGGTAATACCAATACTAGTTGTTAGAGACATCTTTCTGTCAAATCAAAGAAGAAAACAGCTCTTCATATTCTTGGTGGACATGGCTTTGGTTGCAGGCTGAATGCCAAAGGTGTAATAACTACAGACATTGGGTAATGGGACCATTTCCACGTTTGAAACTCTGAGCACTGTAATATCCCACCTGGTTCAGACCTGCACCCTCAAAATGACCCACCTGCATCTGCACTCCATCTGGACTTCTCAGTTACCTGAACCCCAAAACTCCTGAATAGATATGTTTCCTTTCTATCTGAATAGATATTTTTCCTTTCTATTGTTTCCTTTCTAGGATTGGATGACTTCCTTACTCTACCATATTACTAACACCATTGGATGGATGTTTAAAGTGCTCAGGGTCTTGATACTTTATACAATACAGCACAAACTAAAAAAGGAAGTTCAAATACCTGTCATACTCTTCATAGAAATATGATGTTGCATAAGACATGATATGAAAAAATGGTTTACAGAAAGAAGACAGTCTAATACTCAAAAGAAACAAAACGTATTATGCATGGTCTGCAGCTGTAATAGTGGAAATGCATATTCAGGTGATAGATAACAAAGCACATTAACATTGAAATTTCACTTACTTTATCACTGCTGTTTCTCTAAGGTTCTGAAGAATTCATAAACACAAGTCCTGTAATGCCCCACCTGATGCTGAAGTATAGACAGTTTGGACATTTGAATGGCCTCTCATCTTTCTGAACCCTTAATCATTACCCTATCCACACGCTCCATCATTTATGACTTAGCTACACAATCTAAGTACGTGTTATGGATGCCTGGCTTGCTTAATTAAATCACAATATACATCACTAGAATAATGTTACAAACTGACGTCATCTTTGGTATTTTCTTCATATCTGAATGTTTCGTTGGGTTCATTGGGAACTCCTTGCTCTTCATATTATACATGTACATCTTCTTAACCCAACCTCATCTGAAGAAGCCCATAGATGTAATTTTCATATACCTCACTCTGTTCAATTTTTTAACCATCATGATCAAGCTCATTACAAATATCACATTGTTCTTTGGAGGAAGACTTTTTTTGGATGACATTGGTTGTAAAGCCATTTGGTACACATACAGAGTTACCCGGGGTCTTTCCACCTGCACAACTGTACTGCTGAGTGTATTTCAAGCCATCACTGTCAGTTCTACTAATGCTAAGTGGGCCTGGCTTAAACCTAAACTAACTAGCTGCATTTCTCCCTCCTTCCTTTTCTTCTGGATCACCAACTTTCTAATAACTATCCAAACCATCCTATTGACACGAGCCAATAGCAATTCCACTGCTCATCTTTATGGGTTTTCTCAAACTTCCTGTCAAATTCAACAGTTGGGACACAGCCATTCAATAGCATTGACAAATATCGTGGTGATTCGAGATGTGCTCTTTGTGGCCCTCATGATGTGCACCAGCCTTTACATGGTTCAGCTCCTCTACAGACACCACAGGAGAGCCCAGCATGTCCACAGCCCTAGCCTCTCCTCCCAATCATCTCCTGAAAACAGAGCCACTCACACCATCCTTTTGCTACTGAGTTCCTTTGTGTTCTTTTATTTTTTACACAATGTTATTGCCTTGTATAGGTTTCATAGACCTGAAGAAAACCCACATTTGGAGAAAGTTATTGGAATTCTTTCCTTATGCTATCCAACCATCTGCCCTTTTGTACTGATGAAAAATAATAAATTCTGCCCACTGTCATTTCTTCTCTTTCAAAAATGAGTGTTAACCTTTCCTCAATGAGCATTCAGCAGCTGAATGACAGCCACGGAATTCTTGAGCCACAGAGGCATCTGAAAAGGGATTTTTTTGGAGGAGAAATGCCATCTGACTGAGAAGAACATAAAAGTGCTTGGCAGGACACATGTGTGTTCAACATGTAAATTAGACAAGGAGCCATACCTTACCATGAACAATGCAACATAGAGCTCAATAAATACCAAGGTTATGGATTGCATGTTTTACAAAAGTATATTTTTTACAAAGTGTATGTGAGAGGAGGCTCCAAGATGGTGACTGGGACACAGCCGTAGATTGCATGAGCTCTGTGAATCAGGGATCTTGCTGAGATGCTGGAGACACGCGTGGCTGAGGTAAAGCACCAGGGAGAGCTGAAACTTCGACACTCCAAAACCCTAGCTCATGGAAGGCTTATATATCCCAGGTGATATGTTAAAGCTAGGGTATGTATCCATGACCATAATAGAGAAAAAATAACTAAGGATATTACATACAATGTTTGTTCTATAGAATTAGTCTAAGTACACGATAAGAACTTTAAGTTTACATCAATTAAAGAATATTGGGGCAAATGGTGGTTGAAAATCCTGAGTTTCAGGTTATTCCACACACAAAAAAACAGGTGTATTAATCTCAGTGACAGTGTGAAGCCGTCCAAGATTATAAAATCCCACTCATGCTGTGCTGATTTGTAAAGAGACACTCTGCTATGATAATCTCAAATAAATGCAAACCTTCACAAGCAATGATTTTTCATTTGAAATGGCAGGAAATTTTCCCAGGCTATTTTGTGCATTTGGTTTTACTATATTTAGTCACAACATTTTTGCTCATCACCTTTCCTCCAATTCTCATATTCCCATAATGAAACAAATCTATTAGGATCAATTCATTGTTTAATTAATGTCTTAGAATTCTGATCCAATTGATGCGTAGTTCAAATGCACACTTTATCCTCCATGTGAATGAGGATTGTACCATGACTGGCCAAATATTGAAGATTTTGGTCCTATTTCTACAATAGTTAACTTTTTGGTCATTCAGATAAGACATTTAAGACTAGAGACTTTGACTTTCCCAATGGGATTTTCAGCATGCTCTGTGGGTTCCAGTATGTGAAACACCAGTGCACTTGCCTAGTGCTGCTCTTCTATGGCCACAGAGGACTGGCTCACCATAGACTGGAGATGCATTTTGAGTAAAGGCATGATGTCACCACACTCTCCACTGCTCTCTAAAGATCAGAATATTTTTCCATTGTTTACCCTTCTTTCATTTGAAAAACATTTACCAGGAAAGCACGGGTGCAAGATGCACATCTTCCTGAAACAGGGATGTTGTGATGACTGGGTCTGTGGATTGATGTGGCAATTCAACAGAAGTTGAATAATCAGAATCCCCAATTGGTACCTGGAAGAGCATGGGAAAAATAGGTTCATTCTGTGATGGCCACCATGAAGACTGAGTTGATGTAAAAGGCAAGGGCCACAAAGATCCTACAACTTCTTATCACACACTGTGGATGAAGTATAAGACCAGCAAGATTGAAGGTCAACATTGTTGAGATACTTCGTAAAAATGGCGGCTCTTTGGCTCCATTTGACAAAACCTTCCACCAATGTGGAAAGACTTCAATGTCTTCACTATCATCTGTGCCTGCCTTATCAGGTTTAAAAATAATTTCAAGTTTAGGACTTTAATGTAACTAGGTCCTTTCTAAAGCACATTTATTTAAATTGAATTTTAATAATTTGTTTAGCATAAATGAATCATATAAATGAATTTCATTGTGACATTTGCAACAGGTACTCCATCTTAACAACACTCCTTTCTCCCTCCTCCTTTTAACAGTGTGCAGTGAGTTTTATTGTACAATTTCATACATGTATACAATTGTACTTATATAGCATGGTTTGATACAATTTTTAGCCTTCACATTGCCTAACACTGGATTCCAATGAAAGTAGAAAGATTCTAGGAGCATGTGTTCCTTCCTCAAAGAAATTTCCTAAACAGGAACAGAGAACTGCTCTACTTAATTGGACTTCATTAGGATATTAATGCTCCAAATGTGGTCCTTTTCTTCTAAAAGAGAATTAAGCCATTTCTGTTGCTATCACAGATGAGAAGAGCTACCTAAAGATGCATAACTGATCTTTATCTTGTGCTCTACCGTTCCATCTTTCCCAGTGAACTTCCAGCTTAATGTTGAAATACTAACTTCTTGCTTCCTCCTCTTCTTTTTTTGCTCTCACTTTCCTTCTTCTGCCTACCTCCCTTTCTCTTTCCCTCCCTCCCTTTCTTCCTTCCTTCATTTCTTTTTCATTCTATATTTATTGATACTGTGTTTAACTATGTTGCCCATGGTGGCCTCAAAGTAGCGATCCTCCAGTACAAGCTTCCAGAGTATAAGGATTACCAGTGTGTGCACCACATCCAGCTCTCATTGCAAAGTCCTCCTTTCTCTGGTCAATGAAATGTTACCTCACAAACATACAAATTTTATTTGTCAATTAAATCTAAATATGTTTTTAAAATACGATAAATTGAATATTAATAAAATCAAAAGTTGTGTCTAATTTCAAGAGACCACTGAATGACTGGATACAACCCAGAGTTCATTCCTTCAATCACTATGACTCCAAAGTCAAACAACAAGACAGATAAATAAAACACAGATAGTGTAAATGAGAGAATATTTTGTCCCATTGACCCCAGACTTGGTTCATCCCAAAGCCTTGCTTTCTCTGTTGCTCTGGCTGCACAATACTTACCAATCTTTCTTCCAGTACATTGACTTTCTCAGTTATTTCTGTGTTCTTCTGAGATCATTCACAGAATTGTTAGCATCCATCCTGCTGTTTAACAGCTCTAACATTTCATTTATTTTTCCATTGGATTTTCTATTTCATGGCTTATAATCCTTTCCCAACATGTATAAAGTGTTAAAGCTGTTTGATATTTTTACCTTCATTGAACATTTTTATTATATCTCCTTTAGCTTCATTGCTCAATAATTCCAACATATTTTGACTGACTATTTAGTGTGCATTGATCGTGGTTCTCCATGCAAGTGAAGACTTTTGACTCAAAAATTAAAACCCATAACAATGGTGCCTTCAGCCAGGCACTCTCAACACAGAGCTCCATAGGCCATCCTGTCCTGAGCACAGGGCCTCCCCAGCATGGGGAAGTCTGGGTTTGGAACCCAACACATTTGTACGCAAACCTGAGTAGCAGTCTGCCTTGTGACAATAGAAGCCAATGACTGGTAATTAGGTACATTCAATCATACTGTTTTGTTGTAGTGAAATGGTTGTGTATAAATGTTTTAATGCTAGTTTGATCTTTAACATTTTGTTTTCAGCAATACTAGTTTTGAGACAAAACTAGACAGATATATATTGCAAGACCCTGAGTTTTATGTGTGTCCAATGAAGATGTGTTTTTGCTTGTTTACATCTTCACTGATCTCTGGTTCCACAGTCAATTCAAACCCTTAGCTGTGGTATTCTCATCCATCCCACACATGGAACACATGGAATTAGAATGGGATCTCATTAGCCTTGCTCTCACATTAGGACAAAGTCAGCATGAGTATTGGGATGAGATACATGCATTCACAGGTTGGAATTAGCACAGGAGTTCATAAATGATGTCATGGAATCCTAATAATAACTACTCAATCACCTCTGTTGTTATGCTAGAACAATGACATTTTGTGACATTCTATATTCTAATGTGAAACAGAAATGAACATTTAAATTGATACTGCAAAGATACCATCTTACCAAATCCATCTCATCTTCCCTAAGTTTTAAAAAAAGGGCAGAAGCACAAATGATGAAGATTTAGATAAAGTGAAGTTGTTTTTTTACTTCCAGTAATCAGCTAGTTTGTATTAAATCCATTTTATATTTATTGAATTGAAATACTTATGTCTCTAATTCTTCATATTGTTGAGCATGTGAACAACAAAAATATCTAAATCTACTTATGTCTTATGTAAAGTTGCCCTGTAATATTATTTCAATTCCCACTGCAATTAAAGACCTTTAGGCCAGTAATTTATTAATTACTATTTCATATACCCTAAAAAGAAATGCACTGTGTGGAGAACCAGGCCTTATGGAAGTCCACCCCACAGGAAATGAGTAGAACAATTCAAAATCTACCACCTGAAGTTTGGAAGAAAACCTCTGACATATTCAGAAAGTAGAATACAATGTAATAGAAAAAAATAAGCTAAGGACAACTCAAAACGAGGCTCCTACAAACCACAAATATCTATTTTCAAGACAGAAGTGTCAATGTGAGAAAAACTTATACAACATGATGCCATTCACAAAGAGTAAATCCAAATAGAAGATGCTTTCAAATGCAAAACCTACACAGGTGTTAAATCTACAAAGTGAATGATATGTGAAATATTCAGCAGTTTTTGTCTCTTCTCTAGGAGAAGGCAGGATAAATTCATTTTTTAATTTTTATTATCATATTGTTTGGTACATTGTGACATTTACAAAAGTGCTCACAATATATCTTAGTTAAATTCACACTTTCCATCATTCTTCTTTGTCCCCTGTCCAATTCTCAGAATACTTTCAACAGGTCTCATCTTTCCATTTTCATACATGAGTACTGAATATTTCCACCATATTCACCACCTATATGCTTTCCTTATATCCTTCCCCTGCCACTGGTACCAACCCCCAGCAGGAACAGTTTTATCTTCCTGCCATTCCTGCTTGTAAAAAAAGACATTTGTGTTTGTTTGAGAGATCTATACAGAGAGTTTCATTGTGACATTTCCATGTGTCTAAGTATTGCATTCCAATACTCCATTTCATTCCCTCCATTCATTTCCATTCATTCCCTCCATTTTTCTCCTTTGTACCTTAGTACATTTCTTGTTAACTTCAGCAGGTTTAAAAATTCTATTT